GTCGAAGCACGAATCGCTTGAATGAAGCACATCCCCCCCCCGCCCCCCGTGTTCACCTCCCATTCCTTGCTTGGGCCCCTTGTGTCCAGTTCTAGACTGCAATCCCCTCGGGGCAGGGACCTCTCTCTCATGCAGTGCTGATACCGGCCCTGAGGCAGGGCAAGGGGCACAAGCTGGCCCAGCTCCTGCTCCTCCGCTGCCCCCTGGAAGTCTTATTTGGAGCAGCCCTCTGGCTTGCCGGCTTTCAGCAAACACAAGCAGTGCTGAGCGTATCTTTGCAGTCAAGAAACACTGAGGACTTGCATCCTTAAAATTAAAGCAGATTCTCCGGAAGCTGGTTTCTCGGCCCGGGATTTCCGTCTGTGTTTGCCCCATTCTCTGGCACCTGCATGGCCTCTTTCAGGGGCAGAGACCTAAAGGTCTCAGGGCCTGAGTATTTTAAGGGTACTTCAATCCGGAGGAGCCTGCACTTCTACCATGGAGAAACCTTTGTTCTGGCATGAGAAGCGCATCAGGAAGCACAGAGCCCGGGGTCTCCTCTGCGGTGGCACCCAAGGAAACCCGACAGCTTTCGGCTTGCCTTCCAGCACCAATTGAAAACCTTGCTCTTTAGCGCTGCTCTTGCATATGGTCATTAGGAAGCCCAGGACTCCTGCTTTGGGTACTTCCAGGAGTCTGCTAAAATCCAAGCACATGCTTGTTTTTCAATCTTTTAGACCATTCCTATTATTCATTATGGTCTCCTTGAAGGATGCACTTCTCCGTGTGGGTGGAAAGGCAGGGCGGAAATATTTTGATAAATATCGTTCATTAACTGGAAAGGCTGCGTACAGCGGGATGGAGTGGGGAGAGAGAAAGAAGGGGGGATTACCACGAAACAGTGGTGCTCAGCAAAAGCAAAATTCTCCTCTACCCCCCTGCACTTCTTGCTGATGGCTTGCCAGGCCCACGGGCTCTTTGTCTCCACAGCCAGTTTCCCTTCCCCTCGATTTTATATGCAAATCTTCCCAGGTGGTTTTGAAGGGCAGGGAAATCTGCAAAATCCCGGGATAAAAGCCCCTTGCCTTCCATTCCTCTGAACACACCTCTGAGGAAGGGGAACGGCAGGTATTTGTGGACTTCAGGGCTCTGATGGGAAGTCCGGGGCCTGACCCTGCTCCTCCGGCCTCCTCCTCCTCCTCCTCTTCTGTACAGCCGCTTTGGAAATCGTCATCCCAAAGGGAACAACACAGAAAGCGGCAACGGACACTGCGTGGCTGATAGATCCCCGAATATCCTGGCCTGGGAGGAGAGTCATCGCTCCCACGGGTTCCCACAGCCTCATGCCTGCCCACAGGTATTCGGGGCACCCGGCATGGCACCCCACGGACGTGCTGCCAAGACCTGGGTTGCTGCTGGGGGTGAAGGACCACGTGGTCCCACCCCACGTAGGCAAACGGCCTTCCTTAACCCTCCTCAGCACCGGCTACGGAGCAGCCTCTTCGGCCACGAGTGGCTTCGAGGGGTGGACGAGTGGCTTTCGGCGCCAGGCCAGGACCTTTTTATTTAAAACATATTTTAATTGTTAATTTATTAGTTATTTATAGGATTTTAAATCTTTTAAGCCGAGATGCACCGGGTTTTAATATTTTTATTGTACAATTGGTTATATTTTGTTCTTATCGTGAGCTGCCCCGAGGCTTTGTTGCGATGGGGGCAGCATAAAAATGTTTGAAATAAATAAATGAATGTAGCAGCTGCCTCCGTCTGTCTTCTGGTAGGGCTGGACCTCCACTCCCTTCCCTGTTTTTTTTTTTTTAATTAAAAGCAATCTGGGGAGAAGTTCTGCACAAGCCTCCCCGAAATGAAGGAGAGAGATGGAAGGCTTTGCAGGGGAACTTCCCCCCAGACTGCACCCCCCGGGTCTGTCAATTCCTTGCTTCTCAAACAATATGGCACCCAGCATATGTCACCAATCTGGATAATGATGTCATAACTCTTCTGCTTTATTTGTTTTAATTCCGGGAGGCACCCCTGCATTAACACCTCACACCACTTCAGCTTCCGATCTGAGCCTCTGGATGGCATGAAGGCTGCGAAACCATCGCCAGCTGCGGGAAGGCCGCCTTACCCTTGAGAACCGACCCTGTCAACAAGACCCCGAAGGGCTTATGCAGGAATCCCCAGGCTCGCAATTTGTACGGAAGTCAGCCGCATCGAAGTGCAAGAGGCTTACTCCCGATTAAAACCCAGCTGTTTGGATTCCGAAACTCCAGGCGTTTTCCCCGTCTTTTCTGTTTAAGCAGTTTTAAGGCAGGGTGGTGTGCTTCGACATGGTGGGAAACCGCTGTGGGGTTTAGAAGGGGGGAGGTGGGAGGGCTGAGCTCCCCGTATGTCCTGGGGCTGCAAGGGGCAGAGAGATCTGTGCCCTCCGGGGGCTTTTGCCCACCTCCCCACCAAAACCTAGTGCCGCCTGCTGGCGCCTGGACATCCATGGCCGGCCTCTTTTCCTCTGTCATAATGCTTCCTTTTTCTTGCTTTGTTCTGGCAGGAGGAGAACCCGTGGCTGGAATAACGGGGAATTAGCGTCCATCCAAATAGGTCGGAGGCAGGACCACTGAAGCACACAAGCCCTTCCTTTATGATGGCTTCCCCCCATTAATAGCATTTGGAGAATAAGTGGATGGCATTCCAGGCGCCGTTTCAGGATTCATCAGAGGCAGTGCTTCCATCTGAGGTCCTTTCAAATCAATGAGTTTCTTGTCATTATTTTAAGTGCTGTGAAGTCCACCTAGACTCCACCTGCCACCCCTAATTCGAACTTCAGCTCCCTGCAGCTCATTGATCGATCGTTTGACACACTGCTTTGCTGTTTTGCCCTAAGACTTGTGTCCAGAGGTGGTCCCCGAACCTTTCTCGGGAGCTCCAGACCTCTGGGTGGGCCGCTGCCCCACCGCCTTGCTGCCCAGGAGCCTTTGCTGAAGGAAATGCCTGGGCCCCACAGACCTCCCCCGCGTCAGGGCCCCCCGAGGGCAGCCTTGGCCTGCATGGCCTTCCCCCCTGCTGCCCCCCCCGGTCTTTCAACTCGAGGGTCTTCCTGAGATCGAGCACCTTCCTCTCCCCTCTCAAATCCGTAGCAGATGCTCCTTCAAAGACAATGCACGGACCCGGCCTTGCGCTCGCCTTCCTCTTCTCCCCCTCGCCTGTGGCCCCGAGGCCCGGACCCTTTGGGGGCCCAGGGCACCCCGCACGTGGCACGCTTCGGCAGGAGACGGCCGGCCAGGCATGTGAAGGGTGCAGCACCCCCACAGCCCTCCCTCCCTGCGGCAGCAGCGGGATTACGGCACAAGCAGCCTTCCCCCACCCGGCGCTTCCCAGATGGGGTGGACGGCAATCCCGCGGGCAGTGCTAGCTGGGGATGCTGGGAGCCGCGGTCCCACGCGTCTGAAGGGCACGGATCCTCAGGGTCAAAGGCCAGGCTGGGACTGCGCAGGCAGCCTCCCGAGCAGAGGAGCGGCTGGCCTGGGCTGGGCTGGGCTGGCCCCGGGCGCGAGGGTGGCTGCGCTCCTCCGAAGGGGAAGAGGAGAGATGCCATGACGTCACCCCAGCAGCCGGTGTGGCTGCAGGCAGCGCTCGGCAGGGCTTGTGGGAAGAGGGGCCCCGCCAGGCCCTCGAGCCGGACGCCCGCCCCCAGCCTCCCAGCACGGGGCCCCTTGCGGGGTTCAGCCTCGTGGAGGGAGAGGCGGAAACGCGTCCCCCGCTGAGCCCCCCGGCGGCCCGTCAGGCGGGATGCCGGAGGGCTCCTTCCGAAGTTCTCCTGGGGGCCCGAGCTCTCGCTCTGCACCCACCAGCGGGCGCGTTTCTTCCACAGAACCCTTCTGAAGCCCACAGGGGAATGTGCCACCCACAAAATGTCTCTCAGAAGAGGCAGCGCTTCCTGCGGCGACGCTCGCACAACATGGCGGGTGCGCTCTGCACATGCCTCCCTGCCCTCTTCCCACCCAGCCCGTTTTCATCGCCGCCGCGCGTTCATTCCCTCCATCACAGGTGCGTCCGCGCCTCCTTGCGAATCGTTCTCTTCGGAGTTGCCCCCTCAGTCACCCCCCGGCCGTTGCGTGTTCTGCCCACGGGGTGACCCAGGACAAACCAGCCTGCGGAAACCGTTCCGGAGCAGCGATCCCACTCGCGGCCCTGTGAGCGCTGCGGCGCCTGCCCCCCACGGTCGGCACCGGTGCAGCGCATCCTCGTCCCCCCCACAGAACGCCCCAAGGCAGCCTTCTCCCCAGTCTGCCTGCGTGACGCAAACCCATTTCACAGATTCAAGTAGAGGCACCGCCCACCTCTTCTCTCAGCCTCTGCAACCAGAACCAACAGTGGCGTCCATCCATATAGCCCTCTTCCCCCAGCCCGCTGATCTCCAGATGGGTTGGATGACAACTCCTGTCAGGAGCTTTGCTGGCCGGGAATGATGGGAGTTGAGGTCCAACACGTCTGGCCAGCAGCAGGCTGGGGAGGGGTACCACCCAGCCCAGCACTCAGCACTGCCCCGGACAAGGAGCCCGCTTTGGCCGACAACAGGAAGCAACGCACCGGTCCATTCGCACGACCCGGGGGGGGGGGGCACGGCGCCCCCTGCAGGTGTCCCGGCGAGGAGCAGCCAGGCCAGGGCGAGGCCGCCCACCCCACGCGCGGGGCAGCGGCGCCTCCTGCCGTTGACCTCCGGGAACTGCAGCGCGCGCCGGCGCCGGCGGCCGCTCCGGAATGAGGCCGTGGGAGCCCCGCGACCGGGAGCGCCGGCCCGCGGAACTGCGGTTCGCGAAACCCGGCTTCGCCACGCCTAGCGGGCCGCCCTCTGCGGGCCCCGGGCCGGGGCCAGACTCGCGCGCTCCCCGCGGAGGACGACGCCGGAGCACGGAGCGGCCCGCGGCGCCGCAGCCCCTGCCCGCAGCCCGGCTCCGCTCGCACGGACGACGCGCCCCCGCCGCCCGCCCGCCGCCCGCCCGCCCGCGAACTTCACTCACCGGGCGCTTTCTCCAGCCGGCCCTTCCGCCCCCCGCACAGCCGGACTTTGGAGATGAGAATGAGCAGCTGCTTCTGGCACAGGGACTTGGTCCCGCGCGGGCAGACCTTCCTCTGCGCCGCGACGGGGCGGCTGGCGACGGGGTCGCGGATCTCGCGCTTCTGCCGGATCAGGGAGCTGGCTAGCGCCGCCATCCCTGCCCCATCCGGGGGCCAGGGGGGCGCGGGCCGGGCAGAGCCTGGCGCTCGGGCAGGCGCGGCGGCGCCCCCCCTCGTCCCCCGGCCCCGGGCTGCGGGTCCG